ACTGCAAAAGTCTTTTTTGAGAATTTATGGTACAGCTCTGTTAAGAGAAGAGAAATATAAGATATATAAAGTAGGTATTTCAGATAGATAAATAGATGAGATCTTCAGACATGTTTTAATTCTTTCATCAAATTTCCAAATCTGTAAATTATCTCTCTAATTCAGTACATTATAACCTGGTTTATGAATTTTGCAAAATGTGAAAACAAATTGAACTTAGGAAATATGGCATTATTTTAGAAGTAATATTCTTCTGATACTATAAATATAATGACTGCAGAAGCAGGCTGGACTGCAGCCTGTAGTGGAACTACAGCTATTTTTAATAGAAAAAAATAAAATATATGAACAGTAACAGGTTTGTAAAATTCATAAATGACATAAAATGAAGTCATAATTGTGTAAAAAATATTAAGATTTTAGATTTGCAATTTTCCCATTTTAATTCCCTCTTTGATTTGTTACAAATACTGTTAACCCTGTGTTTAGAAAATGGTGAGGACATTATCACTTGTGTTCTCATTTGTAATAAAATAGATTAACTTGCTGTGAAATTTTAACTAGGCTGAGACACAACAGTAGCTGCCTAATGAACCAGAGCACATTGCTGTTAAGTAGCTAAATAGATGCATACTGATTACGGGACTGAAAAATGGATCTGTTTACTTGCAAAGAAGAAACTGTTCATAGTGCTATTCATTATGGTAGGAGAAACTCATACATTTCCAAACAAACACTTAGAAATAGACCATTTCTCAACCAATATCCAGGCTCAGGTGATAATATTCTATCCTCATTTATAGTACATATGATGTAGAGAAAATTCCAGCTCTTCTGTTGTCTACGGGGAAAACTGTATCTTCCCGGTATATGTTAATTCTAGTAGGCAGTAAGATGTTAGATGACATAATCAACAAATTATTTCATAAAATGATTCACTGTGTAATTAAGCATGACATTATTATTTGACACATTTATTTCTACCTGAACATTGTAAATCCAACATAGTATGAGTTTTAAGGCAGATTATTTTAAGTAGATTGCTTTATAGTGGGAGACAATGTAGGCGCTGCAACCTTCATGAAGCAGGGTGGCGGCTCTTTGTCCCACTAGCTGGAAGAAAAGTGACACAGCTCTTTTAAGGGCTTCCTTACAATGGTTGGAGAGAAGGGGGAAAGTTTACAGGGAAGGGCAGGAAGCAGTTGGGGAAAGTCAGGAGAAGGTCACTGCACTGTCCTTCCTCTGGCCAGAAGCAAGGGCGTGGTATTTATATGCCATGCAGCTCTAGGGAGGCCCTCTTTTACCTGCATCAGGCTGACAGCACTCACTCACTCACCCACCCACCCATGAACAAAAGGACCAAGTTCCCTCCTAACCCGCTGGGGGAATTACGCTAGTTGCCCTTTTTGTTGGGGGTTGAGAAGGAGTTTTCCCCTGACTCCCAGATTGGGTGTTTTTTTTCCACCTTCCCCACAGGATCCATGGGACCGTGTGGTGTGGAGTAGGAGGTTAGATTATAATGTTGCAATTTAATATGTAAATTTGTGGCAAATGTCCAGTGCAGGTACTCATTATGGAAGGGATACAGTTATCGGATTAAATGGATTGCAAAAGAATGTAAAGGAATCCATCCCATACTGAAGCAGTAAAGGGAGTTTCAGGCTCCTACATCTTGTAAAGTGGGGATCCAACCCCCCCTCCTTTTCCTAGTCCCTTTTAAAGGACTTGAGGAAGGGGGCTTGGGGCTCTTATACATGAAACAGCGGGGAACTGACCTGGTCAGGACCTGGTTTGGGTCCTGGAATCATTTGGAAATGATTAAGGAAAGGATGATGGCCAGACAATGAGAAAATTCAGTTCCAGAGAGAGCTGGAATTCTCTGTTTTTCCAAATCATCAACTTCTGAATTACTCAAATAATTTTCATTTAAGGATGACATATACTGCTGTATATGTGATTTCTGAGTGTTAATGTCCAGTAATTTGGTTTGTTCAGATCTTTTTTGTAGAGCAGTTGGCAAACTCTTTCCTTGGCTGTTCACATGCTTGTTATAGGTACATTACGTATCTTTGTGGCAAATTATCATTTGAACATTCTGAGTTGAAACAACGGTAGAGACCTTTTTAGGTACACAAGACTGTGACTGATGTCAAGTAGGCCATGACAAATAAAAGGAAGCAATTAAAGATAAAGTCACAATTTTGTTCACCTGGGTCCCAATTCTAAAGCTGCTACTTGATCAAATTTAATAGAAGGTCCATGCACAGAGAACCAACAAGATCAGGCCTGTATGTGTAAAATTCATTGATTAGTAAAGAGACCTCTAGGGTGGTGGATGGAAGCCTTCTAATGTGACACAATAGAGGGAATTTCAAGACAGGAAGCCAGGGCATAAAGGCTCCTTAGAAGCCACTAATTCCCAAGTCCTTTGCAGGGCATTTCAGAGCATAGAGGGGGAAAGCCTATAGGCCAATAGCTTTGACATTGTACTGATTTGCTGTAAGATTTGGAATGGTTGGATATTACTTGCTGAAAACAGTTGATTTTTTTTTTAAACTTAAAGCTACTGAGGTTTGACATCCCTATAATAGATGCATATCTATTAAAACTTAATAAACATCTTTAATTAGCATACCAAGACTACTGCAATTAAAAGTCTCTCTTTAGGTTTTATTAGTTATTGTATGTTCATTAAATAACAGATAATTAGTGAAAACATATCCATTGAGAATTAACAGCTATGTAATAGATATGCATCTGTTACATGATTCCGAAGCTCAGTTGTTATTTAATGTATAATAACTATCCTATTAAAAACACATTCAAGGCTACATTTTCAGTGTGGTGTGACTGGAATAGACAAACACCACCCATTATTGTTAAGAGGAGATGCTCTTTAATTCCCTTGCATCTGAACTCACTTGCATCTGAAGAAGTGAGGTTCTTACCCACGAAAGCTTATGCTCCCAATACTTCTGTTAGTCTTAAAGGTGCCACAGGACCCTCTGTTACTTTAATTCCCTGTGCATCATGCTACAATGTATCCCTAAATATAAAGTTGAGTGTATTTTGGAGATGTGGTTTTAATGGGTAACAGCGTATTTTTAACACACTAACCAGACTTTCATTGGTATTAATGAGTTACAGCAGTAGATAATGAACAGAAATTATTAAGTTAATCATTAGTAATGGAGAGACTTTTCGAATCTACAGATCTGCTTCTAAAGGTATTTTATTGATTTGTCATGTTCTCTACCCCAACCTCGGGGGGGGGGGGGGGAGAATTCAATCACTGTTGAGCTCCTTAGCACATGGTCAGAAGGGAGCTTCCCCAGATTATACTGTGGAGTGGTGGGGAATTTGTCCTTCTCGCAGAAGAGGCAAAGAATTCAGCTCCCGGAACACAGGGATATCGGGGAGCTGCCAGAGGCCAGGACTGTCCACAAATTCAGGAGCTCCCTAATCCTATCCATCTTCCTCATAGCATGGCTCCATTGCAACCATACTGCCAGGGACTCTCCCTTCAATACTACCTTTGAAGTGTTATAGGCAGTCTACCTCATGGAAGGAGCCACAGAGAAAAAGGCCCAGAAGAAGTACAGTCTCAGCCTGTAATACGTGCTTTTTAGTGGATTTTCATTGGTTATAGGATGTGGGAGTAGGTGGGAGGGGATAAATGATGAAAATGTGTGTTTCAGCTATAATTGTGAAAGCTCTAGGAAAAAACAATGCATATAACGTTGTTATTACAGGTGGACAAAGTGCGAGAATTTCATTATGGGTAAAATTTTGGAAAATTTTGCAATTTTTTGTTTTACTCCTTTTTCTCTACCCAAGGTATCAGGTATATTTGAACTGGGAGCCACATTTTAAAAGTTGTGTGTGCAAACATGCACATGCATATGTTAGGTTTTGCAAGCACAGTCTTATATTTACTTCTAAAAAATGTTAATGCAGAGCTAATGTTGCCTAGAGCTGGCAAATCCTCTGATCTATTACACTTAAACCTCTGAAAAACCAGAATGTGCAGTGTTAAATTAGTCTTACCATAACTCTTTATTTTCAGGACAATCTCCAGATACATGTGAATTTTAGAGCCCTTTGAAAATTAAAAGCAGGTCTTTGCGGGGGAGGGAGGTTCTTTTGGGAACCCTTTGGCCAGGTGACAACAAATTTGCATCAGAAAGTCAACCCCAACTCCTGATGTGGCACACCAATATTCAAGGCAATTTGATTCCTCCTGTGAGTTTTAGAGCACGTTTTTAGAGTTTTAGAGAAATTTTGTCTTTACACTGAGATGTTGTGCACTTTTGCATGCATGGCTTTGGAAATCTGGCTGATATAGCTTTAATGGGGACGAATGAAAGTTATTCAGGCAGACCAATGATTGTTTTTATGAATTTGCAATTGTTTAGTATTTGTATTTATATGAATCTGAAATTGCCAATTTAATCTGAATTTGGTATTTGAAATTTGACTCTTCTGTATCATTTATAGATACAGATAAAAATAGTAATGTACTGAGGAGGAATATGCATTTTTGTATTAATATGGATGAAAATGTAACAAAATAAAAAGTACCCCAAGTAATTGAATAGCTTAAAAAAAAAGCAAGCCGCACAGTAGCTGCTATGTCATGCTGATAAGGGTGTCATACCTATGTGGTTACATGGTGCCCAGATATTATATGTATGCAAGACTGTACTGGGTCTTTGAATGTGAGTTCACAAAGGAGCTGAATTAATTTACCTTCAAAAGGAGATTTGCTATTTTAGATAAGACTTAAGTACATTAAAGAGACAAGGTGGATGAAGCAATATCTTTTATTGAACTAACTCCTGTTGGTGAGAGAGACAAACTCTCCAATAAAAGATATTTCCTCACCCACCTTGTCTCTCTAATATTCTGAAGCTAACATGACTACAACAACACTGCGTACATAAAGTAAATGAAAACAAACTGCCCAGTTTAACAGCCATTATTTTGTTTTTTGTTTTAAGGAGAGGATTCAAGACAGCCCTTCTCCTGCTCCATCTCTGGAAGATAGTCAGAGGCCTGGGAGTCATGCTTCTTCACATCAGAGCAGTAGTGTGTCCAGCTCTCCATCCCAACTAGACAACACACCAGATAGAATTGGTTGGTACTTTATTATTCCCAGCCTCCCCTCACTCAGACAACTATTCTGTGGATTTGAAAAGTGTGCTGTGAAAAATACTTCACTAAAGGAAAATTGACAGTGTTAGTTTTAAAACTGACTCTGTGAAGCAGTCATTTATCATTCAAATAAATTAGAGAGACATTAGAATACAGGATATAAAGCTGCCTGTTCTTCTCATACTTGCTCATTACTGCAGAAAGCCTGACCAATCAGATGAGTACATATCATGTGATTTGTGTGACACATCAACTCAGTGTCACAGTATATTGCCCCTACTATGATATAACATACACGTCTCATGGCGTCCTTCTAAATGTACATTTGTTGTATTTAGCTCAGCAAATGATATCATGACTATAATAAAGGAAATCCCACACTTTTTTCCATTGTCATAAGAGTTTTTTATTTTCACCATAGGCATTAGGGTCTGTGCATTATTTAGATGAAGGATGGCCTTGTGGATGAAACACAGTTCTGGGACACATAAGATCAGGCTCTCCCACAGACAGCCTGTTTGACCTTGGGCAAATCACTGAATCCCTGTGAATGTCAGTTTCCTTATTTGCAAAATAGGATAATATTTCCTCGTTTTACATATTGTCGACAATTAATTCATGCTTGTAAAACTCTCCAGTGCAGGCAATGTCTCTTCATCTGTTTGTACAGCATCCAGCACAATGAGACCTTGATCCAGACTGTGGCCTTTTGATGCCATTGTTATATTAATAATAATACACTTGGAGATCCTTTGTGCTCCAGGAGTGTTAGGTATTATTAACTACGGTATTGTTGCCAAAATAAAAAAAATCTTTGAGGCAGAACCTAAATTTATGCTGAACCAAAATATTGTTCTATGTCTAATAGTGATGTTTGCCCATATTGTGCTGGTTTTAGAAGGTTATATAAATATTTTTTAACTTTTTCTATTTCCAGTTAAACACTTTCTAAAGAATTAACATAAAGTTCTTAGCAATTCTCCTGATCTGGAGTGATTTCAAATTCTATAATCAGTTAATTGTGGAGAAGGTAATGTTTTAATCAAATAAGAACAAAGAAAGTAAGCATTCTGAAATCATAAACTTAACATGTCTCACTGATTTTCCAGGTGGTAAGTAAAGAATTGCTCTCTCAACATCAGAAAGGATTGTCTTTTAGTTGTCATCCATCAATTTGGGTTGCTAACCATCTATCTGTCTGTATTTCTTTCTTAAGCTAGCTGCATTATAGATAATTACTGATTCTTTAAATCCTCTCATCTATTAAACATGTTTCTTTCCCCAAAATGATTTCTATGAAGCACTTTTGTAATTAGTTAATTTGAGCATTTTATAGGAAATTGCACTCATCCCAGTGGTAATTTTTCTTCTGTTCTGGTGTCTTTGTGTAATCAACTTAAGCAAATTTGCTTTTGCTGTTTATGTTAATACTTTGCTGTAAATGTTGAAGATTTGGAATTTAGTAGATGACAAAAAATGGCCCACCACTTAAGAACTCGCTGTATAAGAATGCAAAATTGCCAGAATATCGGCAGAAAAAAATGTCATTTAATATTTTCATTCTGTATTTTGGCAATTTTTTTCACTGGCAGTGTTACAGAGCTGTGCACTCTGATTTTTTTAGCTATGCTGACCAACACCAGAGAAGGAGAACTCGATCAAGATACTGGGACCAATCTAAAAAAACTCCAAAAGGAGAAAGGTAGAATCATTTATTGTTTTTTATATTGCATGTGTAAGGAAATTAATAATGCACTTTACCTGCATTGCCCACATTCTATATATCCAGTGGCATAACATGTTATATTTATAGAGCTGAACACATAATTTGCAATGAATAAGGTATCCAATGAATTTAGCCGTATTTCTGCTTAGGAAGTATAAACAATAAGATCTGTATTTCTTTGTATTTATTCATTATTGGAGAAATATTTGGCAAATCTTTTAAATTTTATTAATTGATTATGAATAATTCTCTACAAATATTTGGTTAGCTACTTGGTACTGTTTCTGTTCCTTTACTGGGTGAGTGTGGAAGCACCTTTAGTGTTAATACTTGTGCATGTGAATTTAATTTCTGTGAATGCTTTTTAGGCAGTATGTTTGTTTTCTGCAAAAAGTCATACCAGTCAACTCAGTTGCTCAAGTTGGGGGCGACATTGTTGGCAAATGTTAACTAGGTCCCCCTGCTGCTAATGTCAACAAAGAGTTGAGGCTTCTGCAGCTTTCAGTCTTACGCAGGGGCCTGTGGGCTACTTCTGGGAGCAGTGCTGGGTCAGGGCAGGCAGGGATAAGAGGTTCTTTAGACTCCTGACCTCTTCTCCCCTGGGGGAGAGAATGCATGTTCTTACCTTTACTGATCTGTGTCTCTAGTGGTCACTGCCCTTTCCTCCTCCTCACCCATTTTCTGATGTTTCTCAGTTCTTTCTCAAGGAACCAAATGATGGGCCCTATTGAGTTCATTTGAGAACTTGTAATGAGTTCATGGAATACCTTGAGTTCATATGCCCCCTGGGCCCTTATGCTTAAGTCCTTCACCGTTGTTTCCCCTAACAGTTTGCATTTGTGTAGGCAGTGTTGAACAAACCAACACCAGGAGCTAAATAGTAGTTACACCAGGGGTTCTCAGCCTTTTTAACTCCAGGGCCCAGCAGGACAGGGGGGACTCAGGGCTCCGGGCCAGGGGGTGGGGTCGGGTAGCAACCCTTGGGCATAGATGTAGTTTGACTTCTATTTTGGATGGGCCAGTGGGGCTCGAGCCAGCTCTGCACGGCGGGGTCCGTGGAGGGAGCGCCACTCCACCCCCTGACTCACCTCAGCAGGAGTTCCCCTACCAACTAAGAACTCCCACCTTTTCATGTTCTTTGTATGTATATATATCTCCTCACTATATGTTCCATTCCATGCATCCAATGAAGTGGGCTGTAGCCAATGAAGCTTATGCTCAAATAAATTTGTTAGTCTCTAAGGTGCCATAAGTACTCCTCTTCTTTTTGCGGATACAGACTAACACGGCTGTGACTCTGAAACCTGTCTTTACTTCAGTAATTACGTAGATGAGTATTTTAGTCTGAACCTGTAAGTGTGGTTGATTTTAATTTTGTTGAAGCATGCATGGTTTCCTGCCACATGTTTAGTCATTTTTCAGTGAAACAATGCAATATGCCCTATGAGGCTCCAAGATGCAAATCATATATTTGACTGATAGCAGTTGTCTGTCACTCAAGGCAGAGCACATCCTGTATAATTTAATGAACTACAAAAAAGTCAACCCAAAAACCCAAATCCCATATAAAATTCATTTTAAGAACTTAAACTCAAATCCAGACTTTCTGTAGTCATTTAATATCCCTTTTAACTTTTTACATGAACAGGGGTATGAACACCAATGTCCTAGCCAACTTCCCATGAAGTTTCAATTTATATAGTAATCTTCATTTCTTGTCCTACATTTTTATGTAGTGTTGCTTTGTTTCACCCACTGAGTGCCACATATATACACATATATCTTATACAAGTGCTTGAAGGATGTTTAGGATGAAATTGCTGTTTAGAGATTGGTGCAAACACAAATTCCAGATCACTACTGTCTACCCATCCCATTCAAAAATCTTGAATCAGGCCCTCCCCAAAATTCCTGAGTTTGGCTCAAAAATTATACGATTTTTTTTAAAAGGGGTGATAAGTTATTTTGATTTGCCTTTTCATTTTTCAGCCTTTATGGTGCACTTGGATCACATTTTCAAGCTTTTCTCTGAAACCATGAGGTATAGAAACTTCTTTTAAAAAAAGTTAAAACCCTCCTGTAATCCCATGACTCCAGGAGCTGGGACTTTATGAAAAATACTAAACATCATGAGATTCAGGATAAAATTATGAATGTTGGCAATACTGTATATCCAAATAATTCCAAACTTAATTCACATCTAGCATGGTGACTGGTCTCCATGTTTATTTTACAGCTCCTGGTAAAATCTCCCTTGAGTGGAGGTTTCTATTTTACTTTAGCTATAGTGATCCAATGGTTGCCCCATGATGATTGGCTTTTGAAAGCCCCTAAACTTTCTAGCCTAGGCCTTTCTCGTGTGCTATGTAAATGTCACAATATTATTCCTCACTTAAAGTATCTCATCCTTAACATGAACTTTATTCCCAAAGGCTAGATTCTTGCACACAGACAGCACATTGCCACATAACATGAAAAATGAACTGCAGAATTTGTGCATCTGCAAATTAGCTGATTTTAGAAGTTACACAGTAATTTGTACCGACATATTTGAGAGCAGCATGTCACACCTCTCTATGAGATCATAGTTTTAGCACATATGGGTGTGGCAGTAATAGAAGAGGGTGATATATGTTGAACTGCTCAGTAAATACTACAGATATCATTTGTATAAACAGTGAGCTTCATTTTTCAAACACTGCCACTGCCTTTAGCAAAGCAAAATATATTTACCAGAGAAAAGATTAGGAAGGAATGTAGTTAAATAAAAGTATCAACATTTATTAAGTATGACAAGTAAGCACTTTATACAACCGTGGCAAACATATGTTTTCACATCTGTTTTGAGTAATATCATCATGATTTAAAAATGATTTATAGCTGTACACGCCATAAAATGCCAGCTTTGCTGTAACTTGGAAATTTTCAGACAATGAAGAAATTATTATTGAAGACATGTATAGAACATATTTTTTTGTGACATACACCTTTTTATAACTTATACAAATTTGAGCATTCTGACACAATTAGGGGAGTAACAAAATGAAAATTAACTAACTAAAATTCAGCTGCTGGAGTTACTAATGTAAAATCTCAGCACAAGAAACAGTAAGAGTTTATCCTAGTTGTTATCAGAGAATGCTGTAATACACTTTAAAATAAGCAACTTTCAGGCATTTTCTTCTCCCATCGTATAGAATGATGTCAGAAACAGACAAAATATATGCTTTAATCAAAATAATTTTGATTGAGTTAGTCTTTAAGAGAAAAATAGCTTTAAAATACATGTAGCGCAGTTGTTGTTATGATATGGCAATCTGTATATACAGATCTGTATAATATACGTTCCAGATTATCATTTTATGTTAATAAAAATACCACAGAGGTGTCAGGACACCAGATGGCACAGAGGATTAGTGATAGGTTACGGAGATTTTCACCTTCATGCTGGCAATTCACATTTAGTAGGGTCAGTAGCGAGTAATAAAACTGCGGCTGCTGGCATATAGTTCCTGATTCTTCAGGGTATTTAAGCGTGTGCATAACTTTTAGCTTGCTGAAGGAGAAACAGCATAAACTCTCAATTATAGAGGGGCTTTTAATCCTCGAATTGAACAGTTCTGAAGTTCCCTTTGGTGGATGACTGTTGTGGTTATACATACTAGCCAGTATATTACATGTGGCTGAAAACCATATTTAAGGGTTGTTTTGTAGTTTATTTGAAATTATTTGGTGGGCTCTTGCAAAGGAAACTAGTTGAGCTGGGCAAATTTCTCACAAAAATTTTCCACAAATATTTGCAGATATTAAAGTGAACTTTGAGCTCAAATGGAGATGGTATCTTTTGTGTGGCACAGGTCAGTGCTCAACCCAGCAGAGAATAGGCTTCCCAAACTCTTCCCCAGAACCCTATCACTGAGACAATTAAATAAGCTAGACAAGAATATTTGGCCATTACCTTCGCAACTAGGATCATGCATGAGCTTGCAGTTATTGTTTGTGACTATATGAAGAGAAAAATTAATTTAAACTTACACCCAGGGTAAGTTTATTAAAAGCCAAAGCCTACCTCTGCTCCTAATGAAGTCATTGGGGTACATTTAGGTCAATGATAAGCACTTTTAAAAATCCCACCCAGATAATAAAGCCAACCAATAAATCACACAGTAGCCTATTTTTTCTAGCAAAGATTCCTGTGCTTTCCTAGAAAAGTTTTAAAATTTTATTTAGTACCCTAGTCCTGTTCCCTACCTTTGTCAAAACTGTTCCCTTACCCTGAGAGGTTCAAAGCCTCAGCTTTTTCCTGACTGAGTTAAACAGAAACAATACTGTATCTTTTGGCCAGTCACAACTAACCATCACAGCACAAATTTGGAATATCAAGAATCAGATATTCTCGGTGAACTATTCACAACTGAACAACAAAGTAAAAATCTTGCAAGAAAAAGTTGTTGTGTAAATGTGAATAATGGAATCAGGGGATAGTTTGACAAGCTCATGGTTATACTTGGAGCTGAAAAAGAGACTACATTTGTTGAAAAAATTATTTGCTCTGAATTAGTTGCCCAATTCTGGAAACTGCTCTCTAGCACTCTCTAGGCACTTAGGCAAAGCCCTGTGGGATATGTTTTGGTCTCCAGAGCTGTGAATCTGGTATCTATTACTTTCCTTTTTCTTTTTTTCTTTTGAAAAAAACTCTTCCCATATTATTCAAAGGGAACTGGGGATTTTGCATCTTTTCTGTCAGCTGAGGTATCTATAGAAGTTCTACTGAAAGTGACAGAAATATTTACAGTTGACTGGAAGCTTGAGGCAACTGAAAAATTAGCTGTTTTGTTTAACACATTTCATTAGATGACAACAGACTTTTATACAGTTTGAATTAATCATTGCCAAAGGAGGAGTAGGTTATTTAAGTGTGAGGAGAAGAGTACAAACAGGTGCAGACCACCTGAAACAGCAACTGGCACCATGCT